CTGGGGGGACAGCTGCGGGAGAGGCGGTGAAGATGCGGCACCTGTTCGGGGCCAACACGGGGGGATGACGTCCCCCACCAGCAGGGAGGGGCATGTGATGGGGCGGCCATGCCCTGCACTACGGCTAACATTGCGCCAGAGCTGTGAGGACAGCCACGGGGGGGATGATGTCACCTGCTGGCCCAGCAGGGGCAGAACAGCTGATTCGCCAGAACTCCATTGTTGGCAGACGCCAGATGGCGGGGAGTTTAAAAGGCAGAGGGCATCAAGATGGAAAGGGGAAGTGAGCCCTGACCAGAGAGGAAAGCGGAGGTGTGGCATAGTGAAGGGGGACAGAAAAGGAAGTGGACGGAGGTACGTTAAACGTAGGAGGCGGGTAGGCAGTGGCCCAGGGCGGGGTCATGAAGCCCATGGGCTGGCGTGTTTAGGGGCGACACCCCCGTCAGCCAGGCAGGGGAGATTTTTATCTCTGCCTTAGGGCCCTGGGTTGGGACCTGGGAGTCAGAGAGGGCCCGGGTTTCCCTACCCTGCCATCCTCAAGTATTCCTTCCACCGCGTTGTCCGACATTAACCTAAACTGTGACCCTTATGGCGCGTGCAGTGGACAGTACTTTCGAACTTGGGACGGGTTAAGGGAACTATTGACAGGCCCGTTCGGACTGGGGCAGGCGTCGACTCATTCGGGTGTAGGGGTATTGCACAGAGGGAATAAACCCAGTGAAATGCATACACTGGTAGTCCGTTATGTGACATCCCCACTCCAATCTCCTGCCCTGAGTCTACTCCCTTGACCCCCAGCCTGGAGCCCCCTCTTACATCCCAAAAACCTCATCCCCAGATCCACCCCCAGTTGGAGACCTCATCTCCTCCTGCACTCATCCTCCTGTATCTACCTGCAGCCGTCTCCTGCACACCAAATTCCTCATTTTGGGTCCCCACCTTGGAGCTTTGGGGACCCCAGAAGAGTTAATCTGGCCCTGTAAGTATGTGTACAAAACAGAAAGAGGCCTAAAATTATATTAACTGTAATTAGGGTGAGAGTTTCAGAAGCCCTAGCTGTTGGACAACTTCTGCCCCCAAATCAAGACACTGGCCATTGACTTCAATGTTGAGTGCTTTTGTCTTGTTGACTACTAACATCTGATTGCTTCCTTACATTTTCCTGTTCTGCCCCCTTTGTATCTATTATATCTTATACTGTAAACTCTTTCAGACAGTAGCTCTTTTTGTTTTGTGATGGCACCGCACGCCTAGTACATCGAAGCGTTGTCCATGTCTGGTGCACTTAGATTCTACAAAAATACAAATAAAATAATATTATAATTTATTACTATTAATAATACCACCTAATGTTGTTAGGAAATCCCTTGCACCCTTTCAATGCTTGTTTATTAACTTGCTTTAACTTTACATGCGTTCTTTTTAGTAACAGTTTTGCTGACTAACCCCATTTTTTATATTACATTTCAACACTTAAACCTAGAATACAGGTCACAAAGATAAAATATACAGAGGTATGTCTACACTTGCAGCCTAATTCGAACTAGGGTTGCAAATGTAGGCATTCGGAATTGCAAATCAAGCCCGGGATTTAAATATCCCGCGCTTGATTTGCATCTTCCCGGCTGGGCGCCATTGCAGAAGGAATAACAGGTAGTTCGAACTAGGGCTTTATTTCAAATGCCCGTTTCACTGCCACGTGTAGATGCAGGCAGTTACTTTGGGCTTGTAAATTTCAAAAATCGTGCCCGGCAATTCCGAATGCCTACATTTGCAACCCTAGTTCGAATTAGGCTGCAAGTGTATACATACCCTAGGAGAAAAAACAGGAGGTGAGGTAGTTTCCAAAATCACAGAACTGTGGTTAGCTTTTCTTGGTTTTGTCTGGCACGTGATTTTATTTTTTTAGCACCAACGACTGCAGACTGATGCACAAACCATGGAAAAAGACATTATCCCAGTCCTGAACAGTTTTACAGCGTAAAGGCTTAATCCTGTACATGTGAAAATAAACAGAAACAGATCTGCAACTACACTTGTTGATATTAAAAGGACACTCTTTAAGAAGATTAAAAGAATTAGTATGGAGTTGGACCAGACTGAAGAACTCAATGATCTGAATGTGGAGGGGACTTGGAATTAATGGCAGAAACTATCCTAAGTCTGCATCCTAAGCAAGGGGGGGAAAATCAAAGGTGAGGGAGGGTTACAGGCCAAGATGGATGAGCAAGCATCTCAAACAGGAATGGAAGATGGGTAGGA